ACCCCAGGTGCCCCCCCCCCAGCAGCCTCTGTCCTTGGGGAGCTTGGACCCCCCTCCACAGCCAGGGCTTGCTACTGCAAAGCTGCCTTTGTTCACAGGGAGCTCAGGTGCCCCACGGGCAGGGGCTGCTGCTATCCCGCACTGCTGCCTCTGTATCAGAGGTGGCAGCAGCATGGGGAAGTAGGCCGGAGTCAGTGTGCATGGGGAGCTGATAGAGAGGTAACAGCACAGAGGTGGCAGGGAGCTCTCTGGGAGTGGGACCGGAGTGCACTGGCTGCAGACCCCATCCCTGGGGGATATCAAATAGTTGTGTAACCGCTAAAAATTGATGTGGTTACATGACTATTGAATTGCATGCTGTGATGGCGCGTTGGGGTTTTCCTGTCTCCTGGACCCCAGCAATGGCACAGAGAGACTCCACCAGCCAGTAGAATAGAGGGAGTTTATTGCTTCTCCAGGATACAGCACAGCACAGATGTAATCTGGTTTCAGGGCAGGCCTAGGATGCCTCAGCCCCCCTTGAGATGGGGGAGACTGGGCCCCTAAATTCTAGCCCCTTTCCCTAGGCTGTCTCCTCCATGCTCCCAGACAGAAACTAACTCACCCACTTCCAGCCCTGCCCCCAGCCAGGGCTGCACTCCCCTTCTTCCCATTGTTCCGGTCCCTAGGAGATATGTCTGACAAGTTTCGAAGCCCCCTTGCAGAATGACTCATCCCCTGCCCCGCTGGGCTGTGCTGCAGCCAGCAGCCAGTGGAGGTCACTCACAACCCACTGCCCAGCATAGCAACCAGCAAGGTGTACACACGCTATCTAACGTCCCTACATCCCTAGCTTAAATACGAAAACATCACCACCTGTATTTATGGAGCCGTGCAAACTTCCCCCACAATCCTCTGCAGGGTTTTAACTCAGCAGCTTCAGCATCAAGACACAGAACTTTACCACTTGCGCTAAAGGAGTAACTCCATTAGTTGGTAGGAGCAGTAGGCTTTTACCCTGCCTGTAGTGGACCAACTTCTAGAAGGGATGCTAGGGTGTTACACCAGCACTACTGATTGCGATCATCTCTCCCCCTCCCCCAGTGGCGGACGTTGAGGAAGCCCTGAAGATGGACCCTGAGACATTTAAGATGAAGTATATTGTGGACAAGCCGCGGCTGGATGACGAGAACTTGATCTTTCACTGCCAGATGGGCAGGAGAGGCGCTCAGGCCACGGAGACCGCCATCAAACTGGGCTATACCAAGTGAGCCTGCCCCTCCCCCTTGAGCCTGGTACCATGGGGCACTAGATCCTCTGGGAGATTGTGAACATGCCAGGGGCACTGCGGGTTTGGGGGCAAGGGCTGTAGGTGGTTAAAATGTGCTGGGTCCTATGGACTCTACCCCTTCAGCACCCCCACCCCAATGCTCAGCTTCAGGGTTACTAACACAGGAATTATTGGGTCTGGGGGGGAGGAGGAGAGAGCTCAGAATACTAGTGTATTCTGGGGTAAACCCACTGGTCGGGGTGATACTCCATATCCGTGGTGGGTAGCTTGCAGCCTGAGAGCTGCGCCTGGCTTATTGGCGTCCTATACATGGCCCACAAGACATTTTGTTTCCTGTTGCCCATGCGCAAGGTGGCCAGATCCCGCTGGTTTCCTCCCACGTAGGTTTTTTCCTACCGGTATCACCCAACTGACACACACGTGAAATGAGGCTGTGCGAAGGGAGGTGCGTGCGGGTTGCACACAACGTTGTGAGAGCCGTGCGCGCCCCTGCATCCAATCGCAGCGCTGCTCTGGTTCATTTGGCACAACCCCGCAAATTCTAGGGACGCCAGTGTGACGGCACGTTGGGGGTCCCCCGTCTCCTGCACCCCGAAATGGCCCAAACAGACTGCACCAGCCGGTGGAATAGAGGAAGTTTATTGCCTCTCCAGGATACAGCACAGCACAGATGTAGTCTGATCACAGAGCTGGGCTAGGATGCCTCAGGCCCCCTTGAGATGGGGGAGACTGGGCCCCTAAACTCCAGCCCCTTTCCCTAGGCTGTCTCCTCCATGCTTCCAGCCAGCAACTCACTAACTGTCTTCCAGCCCTGCCCCCCAGCCAGGGCAGCATTCCACCTCCCTTTGTTTCTCCCCATGGGGGGTAGGCTGGTTCAACCAGTATGGTACCTTTGCATAATAAGGTTTTTCCTGCTGGGTCTTGCTCCAGTCAGCTGAGGTCGCCACAGCCCTAGCATGGTACCCCCACGACGTCACAGCCAGCACAGTGAGCAACCGGGGAGACTTGGTTATCACAATCTCACGGCTGACTGAGGCCCCTTTGTATCACCCACTCACTAGCCTACGTTGCCCATGGCTGCTCCACATTCCCACCAGCGCGTGAAAGACCAAGTTGGTCAATCTTTTAGCGTTCGATTGAGTGGGTTTAGTGTCAATTGAATGCCGTGAGCAGCCTCCGCCAACGTCCAGTACTCATTCTGCGAGGACGCTATGGCAGCTCAGCTTAAGGTAAGCTGAATCCAGGTATGCATCTTGCGTACCTGGATGGCGTACCTGAAGCCGACCCACCTGGACCAGTCCTGAGAGATGACAGATAATTTCCTATTTAACTCCATAGGGTACGTTTCCATGGCTACCTTGATTCCTCAGGGTCCTTTCGAATTCATCCGTATGACTCTATGCTGAGGACGGGTTATTTCTCTGGGTACTGCTGGCCATCTGATGTTCTGGTCCCACTCGGAGATTCTGGCTTTGTGACTGGGCTAGATCAGATTCTTCTACCCTGCTGTGGCTTGGCCCTTCCATTTTCCATTCTGAACCCCTGTGTCGCTTCCTGTCTCTGCAGGGCCCGTAACTACGCCGGCGGCTACAAGGAATGGTCTGAGAAGGAAGGGAAGTGACGTGGGAATGGCTCCCCCAGGGCAGGTGACACTCCACGCCCAGCAGCTGGCTTTGCACTGAACTCCTCCTTGCTGCAACGTTCTCCCATTGCTGCTGACAGCCGGCGCTGGGGATGGAATCACCGGTGTCTTGGTGGGCTGTCGGCTAAATCTCCTGCCTGAGAAACTGCTGCTTGGCTTTCTCTCAAGCCCAGAGTCTGCACCTGCTCCTAATGTAGTCACTCCCCCTGCTCTCGATAGCACTGAGGGGGTTCCGACATTCGATTTTACTGGGAGTGGGGAGAGAACTGCCCACCGTTCACTCCATCTCCCCCGCCTCCTCTGGGAATCTGGGACCCCATCCGTACGCTTCCCCTGGACAAGTCCTCAGCTCTCCTTGCAGCTAGATTTGACAGTCATTTTGCTGCCCACTTCGTTCTCCAGCTGGAACCGCCACTTCCATCTGTAGCCTGCTGTTTCTATAACATGCTGGGTGCCCCTCAGCCACCTCTGTCCCTGGGGGACTTTCTCAGCACCCGCACCTAGATAAGGGAGCTCACTAGCGTTTCCGCCACTACACTACGTGGCCCTGATAAAGTCTAGACAAGGGCTCCGGGTCAGCCGCGTGTGGTATTCTATTAAACCTGTTTACAGTTTTTGTCCAGAACGGTGTTTCTCAGCCACTTCACTGGGGCGAGCCCTTATTCCCGTTCATACAAATTGCATGGCGTCCCCTCACGTTTTCTGTCAGAATAAACAAGTCTTATGCTTGACCATGCTTAGGGCTGGCCTGAATGCAAAGCTTGCATCGGCGATGCTACCTCTCGGAGGTGTAAAAAATCCACACCCCTGACAGATGCAACTATGCCAACCTAATCCCCAGTGTGGGCAGCTACATTGCCGGAAGAATTCTGTGGGCCCAGTGATTGCCTCTAGGGGAGCAGAGTCATCTACAATGCTGAGAGCACCTCTCCCGTCGCTACACTGAGTATTTACACTGAAGTGCTGCTGCTGGGTTGTGCTGTTAAATATAGATGTACCCTGAGGCTATGCGTACACTACGTTCTCATTTGCATGAGTCGTGATCTCATTTGCATATTTTCTGTCGATCCATTTGTTTTGCGCTGGGGGTTTTCGCACAAACACAAGCAGTGTGAATGTTTTCTTTTTGCACAAAAGCCCCTTTTTCCGCAAGATCAATATCCGTCCACACTGCTTGTTTTTGTGCAAAACCCCCAGAGCAAAAACACATTGGCAGAAAATATGCAAATGAGATTGTGACATGCAAATAAGTCCCTCATTAGCATATTTTTTGCCGAGAAACTCATAGTGTAGACATAGCCCCAGTGTTTAGAACGGAGGTGTGGGGAATACTGGACATTGGAGGAGCAAGACTTCCTTTGGCTTTGATCAAGGGCGGGCCACCTGCAGCCCATTGATGTTTTATGTGTGGCCCACAAGACGTTTTGTTGATGTTGCTCACACATGGGGTTGCCAGATTCTGCTGGTTTCTGTCCACATCGGTTTTTTTTCCTGCCAGTATTACTAAGTGACATGCACATAAAATAGGGATATGAAGAGTTAACCAATTAACTAGTAAGCATCACTCTTAACAGGTGATGCCTACCGATTCATTAACCCTGGGGGGGCTGGAGCAACTCCCTTCCCACTATGGGCAGGGGGCTGTTCCAGCCCTGCAGGGCCCACCACGGTCAGGGACTGCTCTGGGCATCTGGAGTAGCCCCTGTCTGCAGAGTGTCCGGGTGAGGGGGCCAGGCAGGGGCTGCTCTGGCTGGGCTAGAGCAGTTCCAGCCTGGGACGGGGGAACCGCTCCAGCAGGGGTGCTCCAGCTGGGCTGCAGCAGCCTCCCCTTAACTGGTTAACCAGTTAACTTCCCATTTAACTGCTGATCCAATTAAATGGGATTTTACATCCCTAACATAAAGCAAGGGCACGTGAAGTAAGGTGTGTGCTCATTGCACACAATGTGGTGAGAGCCGTGGGCACCCCTGAATCCTTTCAAATTGCTGCTACAGTTCTATCAGCACCTCCTGCAAACTCTAGGTGCACAAGTGCAGTGAGAAAAACTACCCTTTCCCAAGAGCCTGTCTTCCTACGCCAGGAGGTCATCTTGGTTTCGGCAACCTTGCAGCCGATTGTGATGAGGGAGGGCCACTCATGCAACCCACTCACTAGCCTCGGTTGCTCATCACTGGCTTAGATTGTAATAACATTTTCAACAACTCATGACTAGAGATGTGAATGACTAGTCAGCTATCCAATAAGCAAATGCTTACGGGATAATTGACAAACTAATTGACTAGTTGCTTTCACCCTCTTGCTGCCTCTATCAGAAAGAGGCAGCGAGAGGGGAGGGATTGCTTCAAAGCAGCAGCTCCACGTGGAGCTTTGGGCCAGACACCAGGCTCCACACAGCGCTGCTGCTTTGAAATGCTGCATGCAGCCCAGAGCCATCTGATAGCCCGGGTTCCCTGTGGCGTTTCAAAGCGGCAGCACTACATGGAGCCCAGGGTCATCCAGGGAGTCCTCGGCTGCATGTGGTGCTGCAGCTTTGAAACGCCATTGGGAGCACAGGGCCAGCTTGAGTTCCCCCGCTGGCCCCGTGCTCCCTGCAGCGCTTCTGCCTTTGAAGTGTAGCGGAGGTGCCCTTATCGACTAATTAAATAGTCGATGCAAATTGCATCGACTATTCGATTAGCGGAATTGAAATTTTACATCCCTACTCATAACCCACAGCTTGTCTTTTGGGTCCTGCTGAGATGGTCACAATCCACCCACTGAAAAAACCACATCTAGCGCATGGGAAGCATCCCCCGAGTTGTCCTGAGTAATCCACCCATGGTGGTGGACATGCTGGTAAATATCTCACCTCAGCCAGTGGGAAGTGGAACGTGACCAACGGGGCATGTGGCAGCGGATCCCAGCAGCGTGTGAGCTCTCTGCTTCGGAGAGCAGGAAGCAACAGAACTCATGGAAGTTGGTTCTTTTTACACTATGATCTAAGAGTGTGTGTGTACACGAGAAAACCGCATTGGTTTAATTTAAATCATTATCTGAAACCTCGTCTGTTACAACTTTGCCAATAGCTCTGTGGGCACTTTTATTTCAGTTTAAAAAGTTAATTGCAAAAACCACTTAGTTCAATTTTAAGGCCTAGTCTACGCTATGAAGTTATATTGACAGGAGTGTGACACATATCCCCTCCCAGCATTAAAACCCTGGTGTAAATGCAGCTACAGCAACATAGCTAACATCACTCAAGGAAGTGGCCCTTCTCCAGCATGGCCTGGTCTCTGCTGGAAGGTTAGACTTGTCTCCGCTTATTTGTGTGCTTGTCTATACTCGAATTTGTCTCCTACTTACATGAATTGCCCCATTGAGGCGATGCTGTTGAACCACCTCCCCTAAAGGCATTGCACTATGGTCAGCCTACAGAGCTCAACACAGTGGGAGTGTCAACCCTCACAGTCCTCCAGCAGCCATCCCACAATGCCTGACAGTGGCTGCTCTGGGCACCACTGTGAACTCGGCTGCCCAGTCCATGAAGTCTAGAAGCCATCCCCTCACCCCCTTAAAACACCCCACCTTTTTGAAGTGCCCTTTCCTGAGAGTGTGCCTAGCAGCTCTCCCTCATACCATGCAGCTGCCCAGCTGAACATGACTCTAAGGAAAATGGATTACCTATAGTGATGGGAGAACCTCTCACAGCCCTGATCTTGGCTGAATATGTCCAATGCTCATGATAACACATGGCTCTGCCACATATTTTCCCCCAGATCACGAAAATAACTAATCTCTCTGTGGTGTCTATAGACTGGGGGTGAGCGTAACAATTCTACCACCGGAGTGTTGTGAAACTCAGAAATCCATGTATAAAGCTTGTAGCAAAGGGAAAAGTATTCTGTATTTTTTTAGCTTGTCTGTCTAGCAATGACCATCAGAGGTCAGCATGCCCTCAAGGGTCAATTTGCTCTACATCCGTAAGTTCCATTGTGTTCAGTTTACATCTATTTTTACTGAAAATGCCCTGGATTTTACAAACAGCATTATTCTTTTTTTTCCTGACTCCCACTCTACTTTTTATCATTCCAATAGATAAAAACAACTTGTTTTATTAGAAAAAACACAATATATTGCATTATCAATGTATATTATGATCAGACATTAGTGAGCGTGTCTATGCAAAGCTGCCTGTTGAAGTAAGGCCTTAGAGGGGTAGCCGTGTTAGTCTGTATCTGCAAAACAATGAGCAGTCTTGTGGCACTGTAGAGACTAACAGATTTATTAGGGCATAAGCTTTGTGGGTAAAACCCACGTCATCAGATGTGGGGTTTACCCATGACAACTTATGCCCTAGTAAATCAGTAAGTCTTTAAGGTGCCACAGGACTCCCTGTTGTTTTTGTTGAAATAAGGGAAGATGCACGCAATAAACAGACAAGCATGCACACAAACTCTGATGTGTATGTGCATCTGAACAAACCACTGAATCTCATAACTGTCTGGTTAGTATTGACCGTGTGAAATGTATATAGCAATATGGTGTGTGAGGTAACAGGATTCCCCTAAACCTTTTGGAATCTGCCAGGCACCCGGGGGCAGCTCCGTGCATGTGCCGTGTGCATGGGACCGGGGTTGCGCATGCGGCGCGAGCCTGGGGTGAGGGGTTGCGCATGCGCTGAGTGCTCAGGGTTCAAGAATGGCTTGGGATGGCCCTGCTCGCTAGGCGGGTGCACATAAATACCCCGGCGGATGCCATGGGGACCAGTGCCCTAAAGCAGCATTTCCCAATGGAAGTGGGGTGGGGGGGGAACAGTAGAATCCCTGTGCTGGACTATCTGGCTGGTAGACACACTCATGCAGCCAGAGCACATTTACCAGCCAGGCAGTTTGAAACTACAAAACTGATACATCTAGTAATAATACAACTTACCTACTGAGAAAATACCAGTAGGTATGTCTACACTGCATGGCCATCCCGTGTCTACACAAGCCACCCATTATTTCAAAATATTTTTCAAAACATTGGGCGCGCTATTTTGGCATCCTGGTTAACCCTCGTGGCATGAGGGTTAAAGGATACCTCGAAATAGCACGTCATTTTGAAATTTGGCGTTGTGTAGATGTACCAAATTTCACAATAAGCTATTTTGAAATAGATTTGTATAGTGCAAATTGCATATTTTATTTCAAGTTTAGGGTGCTGTGTAGATGCACTCTACCAGGGTATTTCATTCTACACAGACTCTTTGTATGTCTACTACATGGCTCTGTCTCCATGAGAGAGAGAGAGAGAGAGCCATGTAGATTAGTTTACTAGAGATACCCAAATGAAGCAGCAGTAACTTCGACTTAGTGGAATTTCAAAATGGTGACCGGACAGAAACATGCAAATAAAGCCCAGGATATTTAAATCTTGGAATGAGGAGTAGCAGTTAATTCAAACTAAGGGGTTTATCTCGGAATCCCGCTTCTCTGCCGCGTGTAAACGTGGGCAGTTACTTCAGGCTACTCAGTTTCCAAAATGGCGACCGGACGGGACTATGCTAATCAAGTGCAGGATATTTAAATCCCACGCTTCATTAGCAATTTTGGTTGCCCTCATTAGCCTCCCTAGTTCGAACTAGGGGGCTAGTGTAGACATACCCTATGTGATCTCTGTCTGGTTTGTAATTATTTCTGTCTTCTGTATAATTAATTTTGCTAAGTGTAAGTCAATTAAGGTGGTGGGGTATGATTGGCTAGTAAAATTATACTAAAATTATACTAAAAAATTGGTTATGGAATAACTAAGCAGGACTCTGGTTTAATTATATTAACTGAGGTCCAAAAAGTAATAGAAGCAGGAGGAAAGAAGCAAGAGGTTGGAAGAAGACCAAAGGGAAACAAGAAACACCAAGAAGAAAGGGGAAGTCCTGGAAGAACTACTCCCCTCCAAGACACAGCCTAAGAACAGAGCTGCCAGGCTCCTGCTGCATGACTGTAACATGCAGCAGCTAAGATGCAAAGAGACTGACCTTGCCTGGAGGAAGTCTGCCTGTACCAGGATTGCTTAGCATGTGTTTTCTGCTTGTTTGGGATTTGTCAATAAATAGAGGATAAGAATATTAGTGTGTGATGCTCTTTCATTGGCTAAAGATCCTGCCAACCCATGGGAAGTTACACCCTGAGCCCTAGGAATTGGGGAAGGGTGGGAGTATAGGGATAACATATTAAAGTATTAAAAATGATTCCCCCAAGTGGAAGTGACTCCCCATAATTTGTTCCCCACAACTTAAAGTCTAAGTAGCATAAGTTTGTTAAGTAGAAGCATATAAGTGTTTAGATTTATTCTTGTTAAAGTGTTTAGATTTAGCGTTATCAGGCTTGATGAGTGTTTAGATTTATTATTATTATTAGTTAAGATTGTTAAATGTTTAGATTTATTACTATGTAGCGAGAAACAGCTCCCCTCTGTGTCCCAGGGCATGCTCAAGCTTTTGCAAGGGGCTGCTTGAAATTGACATTGCAGGGATACATTGTAACAATGCATTGTCAAGCCACTAACTCTGCTCTGGGAGCCAAGCCCTGTAATTGACTAAGGGCATTGTTACACAATTGACGCCTGTTCTCTTCGAAGCATTGTGAAGCAATTAACCCTAATCGCAAAAGTGAAACATTGTTGTAACTATAACAGTAACTAACTCAGCACTCAGAGAGAATGTTTTAAGAAATGCCACCCAGAAGCTTTTGTGACTTTTTGTAACTACAACTCTTGCATATGTAAAATTATTATTATACAAAATACTGTATGTGAAACATTAATTAGGGAATGTATGTAAGAGAGAGTGTGCTTGGAGGATGAATGAATGGTTTTGAGAGGTGCCAGCCTGAGAATGCAGCAACAAAGGGCTGAAGAAGGCATCAGGTGCCAGTGCAACCAAAAGGTGTCAAGTGGAGAAAACCAAGTACTGGTGGTCCACCCTATGAGATCACTGACAAGCACCTGACAGCCACCCTGGACATCAGCATGATGCAGCAATTCCCATAGACTGGCATAGGAAGAAATTCCTATAAAGATTGGACCAAAAGACTATGGAGTCAGAGTCCAAAATTCTGCTGCCAGCCCACCAGGAGCTTCAGATGCACTTCTGATCAGGACTTCACTCCCCACTCCCATCACTTGTGTACAGAATACCTGGCCAGCATTCTGTCACAAGCAACTTCCAGGCTGGTAACTATAACCTGAATGAATGTTATATATATTATTATTATCATCTTTACAATAAATGTGGCTTTTTGCCTTATCCCTCCCCCCATAAGATCCTGCTTGCTTTTATTGGTACAACAGGGGTGTGTCCCTACAGTGTGGAAGGGATAGAGAAATGTATGCAGGTAACAGCCCCCCCATCAAAGATGGAAGACCCATCTTGTCCCCCCTCATCCAGACCATCTGCCACCTGTCCAGCTGCAGGCACACAGCTCCCAGCCATGACAGACCCTTCCTTGGGAAGCCCTGCAGTCTTCCATTTCCTCATGGGGTAAACTCTCAGGAGCCAGGCCCCTGGATTCCTCAGCAGCCATTTGGTCTCCAGGCTCTGTGTGAACGCTCTGCTCCAAGACATACACCTCTGTCACCTGGGGTTGGACCTGCCTCCTGCTGTTCCCATGCCCTTCCTAGGCATACCACAGCCTGGGCAGACCCACTGACACTGGGCAATGACTCAGGGTTAGTGCAGGCTTCCTTCACCCCTCCCTGCAAATTGTCCAGCTCAGCTGGAGGAGAATCAAAGAGACTCTCTCTTGCCCCCTCCCCAGCCCCTGTGGCATTTATCTCTCCCTCTGGGATTTCAGCAACAGATTCCTTACCCCCAGCTAACAATCCCTGGAATGGACACAGCCACATTACAGCAGTCAGCGCCCTGAATCAATGGTGCAAAGTACTCAGCCAGTTCACGTAGCCTCCTTCCCTCTCCGTCCATTCCAAGTCGTATTAGTTTTAGAGCTTCCTCATGGGCAGCTTGGGCTTTTATGGCTTCTATCTCATGCTGCTTTAACTCCACCAGTGTCTTGTGTTCCACCTCCCTGGCTGCTTCCTGGATTCTGTACAGTTCCCATTCCTTCTGCATCTCACTCTATTTCCCTTCCCAAAATGAGCAAACAAAAAATAACAAACCAGCAACCACTTTGCCTGCCTTCCAATAACCACACTTAGAACCCACTTAAAATCACTACAAGCAACCAGAGCAACCAGATGTGCACACTTACCCTGCTTGTTGCGACACTGTCATGGGTGAGAATAATTCTAGGGCTTGCCCCGGAGTACCCAGCTGTCAGGAGAAACAGGTAGTTGGTCCATAGGACAGAAAGCTAGGCAGAGTGCAAGTTCAGACCCATTTCCAAGGCACAGCTCAGCAGCATAGCTCTGCAAGGATAGCACAGCACTTAAATATGTCAAGTGCACTTACCCTGCTTGTTGCGACACTGTCATGGGTGAGAATAATTCTAGGGCTTGCCCCGGAGTACCCAGCTGTCAGGAGAAACAGGTAGTTGGTCCATAGGACAGAAAGCTAGGCAGAGTGCAAGTTCAGACCCATTTCCAAGGCACAGCTCAGCAGCATAGCTCTGCAAGGATAGCACAGCACTTAAATATGTCAAGTGGGTGG